AATCCCAAGAGCTCACAGCTGCTCGAGCAAGTCCTTAAGGACTCAGGATTCTTCCAGATGCCGGCTCAGCCATCCCCACTGTGATTTTTCATCCTCACGGTCACTACATGGCCACTCCACCTCGAGGTGTGGGGTCCAAGGTTACAGGCAGGAAGATGGGGTGAGAGTGTGTGGTTATGAGGGGCCAAAGGCAAAAAGCCAGACGGGTCTGACCCTTAATCAGGAAAGCAATGGCTTTTCTAGAAGCCCACCCTATAGAACTCAGCTTGCATCTCATTGGTCTAAGCCAGGTCACATGGCACCTGAGCTTCGAGGGCACCTGGGGAGGTGAATACTTTTGATCAAACATGTTGCCCGGTTAGTATTCTGTTAGAAAAGAAGATGGGAGGGATGGATATTGAGTAGGCCACTAACAATATCTGTTACATAGGCTCTGTGCTAGGCATGTGGAATGTGAAGATGCACAGCATATGGTCCCTTCCCACCACGGGGCATACTGCCTGGTAGGTGAGCCTGACACAAAAACAACCTTTTATGGTACAACAGATATATTGTTAGAAGAGTGGTAGGAGCACAGAGAAGTAAGGAGAGAGTATGTACATTACCTGGGGGAGCTGGGTTGGTGTCACAAAGAGGATGACATTTCGACATTTAAGATAGATGACAATGGGGCGACAGTTTACCATGCAAATAGAGCGAGGGCCTAGCCTTTCAGAAGCTGGTCTCAAACTCCCTGTTAGCCCCAGCTCTTGGGATTATTCCATTCCGAATGCTTCAGACCCACATATGACTAGCTCTATTTTTCGTTCTTTGGGATGGGTCTTGACGGATGAGTAGGAGTTTGGCAGACAAACAGTAAGAGCCTGGCCATTCAAAGTCTGGTTCTGATCTCTTTCAGCCTCAGCTGCTGGGATGATTGTACTCTGCAGGCTTTAGAGCCCCCCAGACAACTTGCAATTTCCACATATTCCATAGTTCATAATTTCTCTATGCCTTTCCTTCCCTCTGTGCATAGGCTGTTTTTTTTTTTTTTTTTTTCTGCCTGCAGTGCCCCTCCCCTTTCGTTCTTTGGGATACGGCTCTCCTGTGGTGGTGAGTCATCCTTGGCCAGCTGTTTGGAGGGCAAGAAAGGACTTCATCAGAGTGAGATGTATGCAGGAAGTTGGATAGCAGTCACATGGCCCAGCTGCAGGACTTGGCTTTGCTGGTCTTAGAAACGAGAGAAAAGGGAAACCAACTACGTGAACCCCGATCACATGCGGAACACTAGATGCATCATCTGATCCCTGAAACAACCCTGTGCTGTGGGTATTTTTATGTGCCTTTCATAGCCTGGGAGACCAGAAGTCTGCAAGGCGAAGCAATTTGTCCACTGTTGAGTAGTAATAAGTGACACACCTGCCCGTCACGGCAGCCCTTCCATCAAAACATGAGGTCTTCTTGCTGCCTTTCCTTGTCCTGGGCTCTGCCTTGTTTCTGGAGGTCAGCCCTTCGGTTTTGAGGTTTTATTTCTGGGTATTCCACATGAAGAGTTTCTAGTTGAGTCTCTCTCCTACTCTTCACCTTCATTCCAAGCTAGCGCAGTGGTTCTCCAATGGAGGAGGGGTGATTTTCCTCTGCAGGCGGCATCTGAAAAAGCTGGAGACATTGTTTGTTGTCACACTGGGCAAGGGGGTTACCACTGGCATCTAGAGGGGAGAGACCAGGGGTGCTGCTCAACATTCTGCAGTGCACAGGACATCCTCCCAAAACAAAGAATTTTCCCACCCAAGATGTCAGTAGTGCTGGGAATGAGAAACCCGAGTTAGTCTCTTCTAGTCTTTGTGAACACTGAGGAAGCAGGTTCTTTCTGGAAGGTTCCCTCAGCAGTTCTTGCTGTGCTTTCTCCTCCCACTCTTAACTCAGTGCAAAGCAGCAGGGTAACCTGTGATGGTTGGGGTTTCCACACATGGGGTGCGGGAATGTGGGGTGGGCTGCCCCTCTCCTAAGTTCTTGCTCATCTTAACTGATTCTTTGAAATTGTAATTCTCACAAAGAGCTTGGCCTCCAGAATCAGACCACCTGGCGTTTGGATTGTGAGCACATGTCTTACCCAGAACAAGTCACTTAACTCCTCGAAGACTCAAGGTCCATCTTCAAAATGTAAATAACAGGAGCACAGAGCTTGTTAAGGTGGTTTTGAGGATTTAATGCAATAATTCATGTAAATCACAGTGCCCAGGAAGATGCTAAATATTCAATATGCGTCTGGCATTATCGTTACTCTGAACATCTTATTTTACCTGTTAACTTTTTTTTTTTTTTTTGAGCCATTTTGTTTCTTTGGAAAGCATCTGGTAGAGTGAGAAGTACACAGACACTGGAGGGTTCTGGTCAGTTAGTTCTGCTAACTTGCTGCCCATGTGACTTTGGTCAGCTTCCTTCTCTGAGCCTCACTTCCTCCTCTGAAAGCTGAGATAATACTCTGACCTCATAATTCTTGTCAGGATTAAGCTGGTTAACTGTCTGACACTTAATAGGTGTTCAGTAAATATTAACCACCCATTCCTTCTATTTTGGAATCCTCCCGGGCATTGATGACTGAGCATTTTTGAAGCGTCTTACGCACACCAAACTTGCACAACATGATTCGTGGCTGAGAAAGATTGGAGAGGATAATCTTCTCATCGGGGTGACTGAAAAGCCTACAGAGTAAAGGTTTAGGGGCTCAAGTCCGTGGGAGGCAGGGGCTGAGACCGTGCTACCTTTCTCAGAACATGTTCTCAATAAAGCAGAAGTAAAACTCAATGCAGGGACTAATTTGGGGGGTCTGTGACGAAATTCAGTATCGAAAGCGTGGTTTAAAAATGGCATTCCCAGACTGCAGGAGCTGAAGACGAAGGTGGATTTGGTCCATTTCTCTGCAGGAGTTAGCAAGCAGAAGAGAAATCCTTAGACAACAATGGGGAAAACGGGTGTTGTGCTGGAACTTTCCATTTGGCCCTCCAGACCTACTCTCCACCTGCTCTCTGCCCCAGAAGTCTAGACCCCAGGGACCGCACCCATGACTTCCGCCATTTTAGAGCCTTGACTGGCAAGGGAAGGAAGAGAGTAATGTAGGGATATTTATTTCCTTGGTCCCCTCCCTGCAGCTTCACTGACAACTGGCTGGTCCCCAAAGGCCACAGCTTTTATTCAGGCAACTCTGCTTCCACAGAATGTTCTCTCTGTTCCTATTCCAGCTGATGGCTCCCTGCCCTGTCCCAGGCAGTCCAGGGGTAGTAATGGCTCCCCATGGTTGCTAGCCCCAGCATCCTGCACTCTCCCTCATGCTGCCCCCCACTCTGCCCACATCTCTACAAATGGTCCTTTAATTAAACTCACCCCAAATTAACCAGTCTGAGTGTGCTGAGCCCTTGCCGCTAGTACCTTAATTGATGAGGAGGAACTCCTAACAGACATTCCCTCCAGGGGTTTCTTGCAAGCGCCTGGTTCTCCTCATGGTGGTGTGGATGGGTTTGCTAGGGCTGCCCACAAAGCACCAGACAGACTGGGAGGCGTGTAGACAATAGCAGTCTGTTTTCTCACAGTTCTGGAGGCTGGAAACTTGAGATCAGGGTGTTGGTAGGGCCCATCTGAGGACACGAGGGAGGAATCTGTTCCAGGCCTCTCTTCTTGGCTGCTGGATGGTCTTCTTTCTGTGTCCTCCCACGGTCTTCCTTCTGTCCCTGTCTGTGTCCAAACCGCCTCTCATAAGGTCACCAGTCATACTGGATTAGGGCCCACCCGACTGACCTTACTTCCATTCAATTACCTCTTGAAGACTCTCTTTCCCGACACAGGTGCATTCTAAAGCCTTGGGGGTTAGGACTTCAACATACGAGTTTTTGTGGGGACACAGTTCAGCCTGTAACTTGGTGGTTGAGAAATGGGAATGTGATCACTGGGTGGGAGTAAGATGACCCAGCAACATTCAAGAGGGACGAGGTCCCTGCTTTCAAAGGCGGACATTCTAGTTGGGTGGAGAGAGGGAATAAGAAAGAGATAGACCACACACAAATCAATAAACAGAACTATTTCAAACACGATAAATTTGGTATATAATGGAGTGAGTAGGCCAACTCAGACAGGTCAGGGACAGACTCTCTGAGGAGGAGATTTGAAAGCTGATCCCGGAATGAGACAGAAAAATCATGACTTGACTGCCCCACTTGGGGTGGCTCAGTCCTGGAAGAAGAAATGGGGCAAACAACAAGCCGTGAGCGGTTTTCAAGCCGTGAGGGCACCTTTTGCTGATGTGGAAAGCAAGAGAATTTGGGGGATATGTTTGTTGACATTGGAGAGAAAGTTTTAAAACAAGGTTAAACAAGCTTCATTAGGGTGGGGCATTTTCCAGGACATTCTGTCACACAGCGGCCGTCTCTGCACTTGGGCTTTACCCCCTCCTTTGCTGGCCTGCCCAGCCACAAAGTTCAGCCTGGCTCTGTCCTGTTTTAACCACCACCAGGCAGTGCAGGACATCAATGGGCCGCCTGTATATACAGAGATGCCTGGGCATTCCCACCAAACCAATCACAGCTTCCCCCATGGTCTGCTCTGTGGCACAGAAGATTACGGTACTACAGCCAGGCTCATAGAAAAATATTAGTTTACATTTAAAATGTTTTCAATATGTCCACAAGGATCTCCATTCCATAGGTTTGCAAGAGTTCTGGGGCCAGTGGTGTGTTTGATTTTGAGTGCTTTGGAATGAAGGCTAAAGGTGACTTGCAATAAAGCAGTGCAAGCCATAGCACAGGGGCTAGATGCCCCCTTAGTAAGTACTGACCACCACCCCCGCCAAGGCTTTCCTTCCCACAAATAGCAGCAGAGGCTAGTAGGTTGCAGCAGACCCTAGAGACCATCTCCTTTAACTGGTTCCACCTCCCTTGGCTTAGACTCTTCCCTTCCCTCCTCCCTTCCTCGGTCCGTTCTTCCCTCTCTTCCAAAAATGGGCTAAGCTGACCACCTCTATTAGTTTCTTTTTTCTTTTTTTTTTAACAATGCAGTATTTATTTTATACAGTTGAACTGGGTACATAGTAAAGTAAGCTATAAAAATTCCAAATAGTTATCTCTAAAGGAAATCCTTTGTTTCCATGGTTTTACATATTAATTACTCTGGAAAGTTTCTGAACTCTGTTTAGTAGTAGATCTCCTTTCTTGATAGTTTCTTGGTACTGCCAGTTCTTGCTATCAGGCCTGTTGGTCTCCACTCTTTCATTTACTTTATCTATTTTGCAGTGTAGTCTCCCTGCAGCAATAAATCTGGACAGCTCCTGATCAATGAATTCCACACCAACACCAAAGGCTTCTGCCATATAGCCAAGAGTTAATGACCTATAGGATTCCAGCAGCTGGCTGTAAGCATGAATTCTCATTTCTCTTACATAGTATCGATAGTGAGGAGCAAAAAGCCAGTCCTTTCTCATTGCCTGTTCCACAATAGCTAAGGACTGGAAGAAAACGGAGTACCGACACTCATAGAGTGAAAACAGGTACTGCCGGACCGCTGGAAGGCTATGAAGCACCTCGAGGATCTCGGCTCCTTTAATCACCTTTTCCCCGAGATCTGGTCTTTCTAAGGCAATCATGCTGACATAGACAGTATAAGTCACAAAGGTCTTATAATCCGTAAGTTCATACGATGTGAATGTTGAAACTGTGTCAAGGAAGAGTTCAGCTGCCTGTTTGAAATCAACGAATAGCCACACAGTAAAGACCTTGACGTACCTTTAGGCGGTTTCTCCTGTCCCAATCTCCTCCTTCCTCTATTAAGCTTTTGGCCTTCTCTGTGTTTCGTGTGATGAGATCATTATCCATATAAAATAATCCAATCCTAAGAAGATAGAACACAATGTCCAGTCGGTGACCCAAGGCCACAGTTTTGTCATATGTCTTGCGAAAGGCTGTCAGAGCACCCTCCTCGTCGCCTATCCGGCACAGGTACTCGGCCTTGGCCATCATGGCATCCCGGATTTCGCTCTCTCCCAGATTCTTCTCTGCATCTTCCAGCTCCTCGTCCAAACGTTTCAACTCTTCCTCGTTGGCCTTTTTCATTTTATTGAGCAGGTCCGTGTCCATCTGCCAGTCGAGGGATTTGCACAAGGCTTCGTAATAAGGAGCCATGTTGTTATCCCGGACGGCCGCCATCAGCTCGTCGCGCACGGCCGCGTCCCCGCGGTGCTCCCGCAGGCTGAGCAGGAAGCGCAGCTGCGCGATGCGCAGGTCGGGGTTCTTGGGCACACCCTCCTCCTCTAGGTTCTCCAGCGGATCTCGGCGGTGGGGGTAGCACCTGACGGCGGACGGCAACTCCGCGCGGACCCGCGGCCCACCTCTATTAGTTTCTTATGACTGCTATAACAAATGACCACAAACTCAGTGACTTAACACAACACGAGCTTATTATCTGACACTGCTGGAGGTCAGAACTCCAAAACAGACCTCACCAGGCTAAAATCAAGGTGGTGCTGTTCCTTCTGGAAGTTCCAGAGGAGAACCCATTTCTTTGTCTTCTCCAGCTTCTAGGGGCCACCCTAGAAGGAGGAACGACAGGTCTTTCTTGTGTGTTCCCATTTGCCTTCTTGTGCCTTTCCAGCACCTTGAAAATATGCCTCCTAGGAGGAGAAGGCAGGTGGAGCGGAGCCTCCCCTCGGGAGCCACTCTAGCTAAGCGGTCTAGATTAACTGACCCCTGAGCATTAAAAGTGAGTGAGAGATGCTCACATACTTCAGGCCTCCCCAGGAACCTGTAGGAACTGAACCAGAGTCCACTGAGCTTCCTATATACATGGTTCCTTGAAGTTCCATCAAACCATAGTAGGATCACTACAGCCGCTTCTCAAACCCCAATACTCATGTGCTTGGACAACCTTTGGAACAGCCTCATTACAGGCTAAGTAAATCATGTTTGGAAAGCTCTGTTTCTCCCCCCATGCATCAGTGAGGAATATGAGGAAAATTACCAACAATGCTCAAGCACTGAGTTTTCAGAAAAACATTTCATGAACTAAATCTCCTGATTACTAAGTACACAGCATCATACCATCCATTTTTCTAGCACATGGTAATTTAAAAGCCATTCAAGGAGCTGCATCACGTGCTCTGAGTAACATGGGAGGTGTGATGAGCATGATCCTCAGGCTGGAGGACTTTCAGGAAATCTGTAATTGGGCAAAGGAGGGGAGAGATGTGACATGACATGGGTGGGTCACTCCCTGCTAGAGAAATATACATGTACTAGTCAATAAAGAGATGGATGTGCTATAAAAATGAGTGAGAGAGCCCAGCTGAGATCAGCAGAGCTGCCCAGCCAATCCCAACCCAGGTCAGCTGACCTCTAGCTAACCTGCGCCCTTGTGAGTTCAATAAACACTCATTGATGTAAGCTGCTAAGTTGTTGTGGTTATTTGTTATACAGCATTATTATTTATAGTTAACGATACACTGACACTCCGAGCAGGCTGTGGCAAGATTCCCTTAAAAAAAAAAAATGGCATCTCAGTGAAAGCTAAAGTAAGTGGATGAAGGAGGAGGAGAGGAGCATTCTAGGCTGAGGGCTGAGCAAAGGTCCCAAGGCCCTTTCCAGGTATAATTCCCTTGGGGAAAGGGTCCATGTTTTATTTACGATCATCTCCTCTTACTCAGCCAGAGAAATATTCCACACCACAGTAAATGCCCGGTAAAGGAAGGCGTTCAGCTAATGGGAAAAGTTCTGAAAGAACAGTTTCCTGGCGTCTCTTCTAAACTTTGGACAATGGTTACAATTTTTCTTCCCTGGAAATTAGTTCATTTATGTCGCTGTTATTTAAAATGGGAGGCCCTTCTGCTTTACCTATCGCGCTATTTTCATATTGAGCTTTTTGTTTCTTCGTGGCATTTTTTACTACCTGATGCTATATTTACAGAATAATTGTTTTGGCATCTGTCTCTTCCACAAGAGGGCAGGGACTTTGTCTTGCTCATAACTGTATCCTCAGTGCCACGGACTGTGCCTGACACAGATGTAGATGCACAAAATTGTTTGTTGGAAAAAATGCATGCTCAGGTGCTGAAATAGTTAATGCTGAAGAACCTTCAAAAAAGTACAACCCAGAAGTTAGTGTATTCATTATCTGGTGGTTCAGTAAGAAAGTGAGACAAAGCTTTCTTATATTGGATGGGGAGCACTCATGGACAAAGCAGAAGGAGTGGTTAAGTCACCTATGATTCTTAGTGGGACATGTGGGGCCTTGGCCAAGGCCCTGTAGTTAAGGGGTTAGAGTATTGTATCAGTTATCTGTTGCTGTGTAACAAACCAAAACTACGTGGCTTAAAACAATCACCATTGCATTTGCTCACAGTTCAGTAGGACAGAAATGTGGGATAAGCTCAGCTGGGTGGTTCTGCTGGTCTCATCTGAATTAATTCACGTGGCTTCTATCATCTGGCAAGTAGACTAGAGCTGGAAGAGCCAAATGCTGGTGGTGCTGGATGTTGACTAGGCCATTCTCTCCTCAGGACTTCTCATCCTAAAGGATGATGGCTGCTTCAGGGCAGTAGGTAGGATGACCAGCCATACTGCTTTGCCTGGGACTATCTTGGTTTTAGCAATGAAAATCCCATATCACAGGAGACTGCCAGGAGAATCAGGATGGTTGGTCATCCTAGCAGCATGAAGAAAGATAATGGGAGTGAGGTTTCTGAGGTTTAAGCTCAGAACTTCCACAGTGAGACTCCTGTTGCATTTTTTTAAGCTTGTCCCCAAGGCCAGCCCAGATTCAAGGGGTAGAGAAATAGACTCCATCTCTCAAACACATATTGCAAAGGGGGAATGCATGCTGGGACGGGAGGATTTTTGCAATCTACTACAGGTATTGTGGAAAGTAAGACCACAGACTCAGAGGTCAAAGTAAGGCTTTTTTGTTTATTGAAAAATCTGTACAAGGAAGGAAATATTAGAGAGCCATCACTAGCCAAATGTTGAGTGACAGCTGACTTTAGTGTCTTAATAACGTGAAAATTGTAAGCTTCCTTGTATAGGCAAGCACAACCTAAGACCCCCTCCTTTAGAACAAAGCTTGCAGTCAGCAGCTGAGGAGGGATGGTGAAATATTCAGGTGAAGGAGAGAAGATTTCTTGGTAATTATGAGACAGGAGATCAAATTTCATCATCATGTTAATACCAAAAACGCTGTTTCAAGGGTAGTATTGATAACCCGTTTGTCCAGTAAAATATTTGGGATAATAAAACTTCACATTTATACAGTGCTGAACTGTGTGCCAGACACAGTTCCAGTGTCGGCGATTTACATCGATTAACACATTTAAAACTCACATTTACAGATGCGGAAAACTGAGGCCCAACATCACCTAGGTGGTAGGTGGTAAAGTCGGCATTTGAACCCAGGCAGTCTGGCTCTTCATCTGCCCCTCCAGGAGCTACCATTTAGCTCAGACTTTGACTTCCTTTTTCTAACTAGCCATTTGGAATAATAACCTAAAGGTCTATCTGCTAGGGAGGTTGCTTTTGCTCATCAGGGTTAGAGAGAGAGGGCGGCTGGAGAGTTTGCCTCGGAACGGAAGTGCAAAGCTTGGGTTCCCACCCAGGCGGGAACGGAGGCGCCTCCTGAGCAGACACAGCCTGCACCGGCGGGGAGTAGTGGGCTAGCACCGAGGTCGGAGGGTCCGGCCCCCTTCTGCCTTACCCTCTTTCACCTTCCTCTGGTCGCCGGACTTGGCGGGTGGGGCGGCGGCGGAGAGCGGGGCGTGAGCAGGTGGATCCCAGGCAGCTCTAAAAAATGTGGAACCCGGAAGGGCCCTCGGTGCCGCGCGTGGTGTGTGGAACCTCGCAGACATCGTGGCCCCCACCTCGGAGAGAATCTGCGCTGTGCATGCGCCCATTCTGCAGATGGGCGGACTGAGCCCTGTCCTCCTGGGAGCGCTGGGGAGAACTTGGCTTCCTTTTCTCTGAGCTTGGGTTCCTCGTCTGTGGAATGGGACGCTCGGCGCCTGTCCGGCCCTGTGCGTTCAGAGAATACCAGGCACTGTGCAAAGTGCTGCTTATTCACAAGATTGTCGCGGGGCAATCAAATGAGATAACGAAAGAGAAAGCACTTGGCAAGCTTTTAAGCATGTGATAGATGTGAGCTCTTAGGAACTCGCATTTGTGTTTGTAGTCGTTTTTATTAAGAAAGAGTTCAAGCTTTGCTGTTTCCTGGCCTCAGGTCACCCCACTCCCCCTGGCCAGATTTCTTGCAAATGGATCCAATTAGTCCCTGGAAGAGTTGAGAATAGGATCGGCTCAGTGCAGACGGATGACTCTGCTACCGCCCTCGCCCTGCAGTGTATCTTCACTGCTCCTTCACGGGGATTAAAGTGAATTGGTGATTTGTAACTGCGCTAAGTAGTTCTCTGGCAGGTTCGGAATAGATTTCAATCTCCTAATTAGTTTGGGAGGTTGAAAATTGTTGATGTCGAAATGGAACACTTGGATCCTGCTTTCCTTCCTTCGCCCTTTGGTTGATAAAAACCCAGTGATAGGAAAAACACCCTTGCCATCCTCATTCCTTCCTCCTTTCATTCAGAAGCCTCGGGGCTCCATTTGTGGACATATAACATTTAGTTTCTAATAGTTTAAAACATGTTTGTACACCGACTAAGTTGGACAAGACCTTGTGCCAAGCCATCCAGACATGAGAAGACTATGATATGGTCCCTGCTCTCAAGAAACTTACGTTATTGAGGGGGAAAGACTGTGGTGGGGGATCTCCTACAGGTTGAGTTATATTAGGACTAAATGGGGATTTCACGCACAACCTCCGTTATTTTATTAAAGCCTTTGGTTGTTTTATTTTACTCGGATTGGCATTGTGTCTTCAGGGAATGCTGTTTAGAGCCAAAGTTACATGCTTTCCCAGCCCCTTACTTGTCCTAAAAAGTAATTTAAGTACTTTACCTGCTCCTGGTCCACACGCCACCATCACAGACATTCCCCTGCCTCTGGGAACATATTCTCAAAGGAGCTGTGTGAGACACAGAAGAGGAGAATTTCTGAGCCTTAATTTTGCTTTTCTTGTTAGTGTTGTAGCTTTGGGTTTTGCTGCCCTGTCCCGCGAACACACATTCTTGACCCTCAAGCTCTCTTACTGTTATTTCAAGGCACAGGGAACTGTGTCCGTATCATATTGATCTTCTTTTTCTTTAAATGGTAGCATACACAATCCATTGCTCTTACCTTGACGTTTAATCATAGACCACTTTGCATTGTTAGTTAACTCTCATATGCATTGTGTGTTGGTGAGCCGGGATTCAGGGACACTGTACAGTAGATGCAAAAGCACAGGTTTGGGAGATCAGC